TCAAAAGGAACTGAAGGAATGATATTAACTCAGAACTTACACAGGTTCTGAATCCACAAGGCAGGGTAGAAAACTTTCTAATTCACCAAATTATCAAGTGAAGCATCTCCAGTATTGTAGCTTAATTTCAGTTTATGTCCCCTTCCCCATATCTTCATGTATTTTATCTTTCCTCTGGCTCCTAGAACATATGGGATACATGTATAATACATTTTAATGTCCTAGCCTTCTAATATTATCAACTGTTAATTCTGGTTAGTTTTGATTGATATTTTCCTTGTTATGATTCTCCAGCCTTAAAAATTTTTTTGAAAAAAATTGCTTGGTAACCCATTTGTGTTTATCAGACATGTAAAAGAAGACATTGTAAATTTTACTTTGCTAGGTTCAGCATAGTTTTATATTCTTGTAAGTATTCTTGAGAATTTTTCTGCATGTATTTTAGTTACTTGGAAAAATTTTAAAAAAAATTTTCCTTTCAGGTACTGCTTTTAATTATTGTTAAGTGAGACTATTTAAGACTTGCCCCACTGCTGAAGCAAAAAACCCTTTTGAATACTTAGGTAGATGCCCCTTAAATTAGGAGGTTTTCCATTTTGGCTGGTTGTTACAGGTGTTGAGTGAGGGTTAGATTAGTCTACAAGACTTGTTTTAAATTCTGTTGAGTTCAATATAGAATGGTCTTTATTTTAGGACTAACTTAGCCTTACCGAGGACTCTTTACTGCTCTTTACTGCTGTGTATATGAAGTCTTTACCATGGCTGGTTGGAGTTCTCATGTCTCTCAGCTCACTGTAATACTGTGAGTTGTTCATTGTTAAGCTTCTGACAGTTGTATTTTACCTGGTGTGATGGTGTCGCCTTAAGTGTAGACGTATAGATGTCTGGACCTTTTTTGTGCATAACTGTTTCCCTTCTGATATGTTACTCCAGTAATTCCTACCATGTCCACTGTAATGAACTCCCCTCACCTTGTCTCTTCAAGGTAGCAAAACCTTTGTGTTCTGCCTTGGATCTTTCTGCCTGCAGTGGTATCAACATATTTTCTGGCAGAAAGCCATAGTGTTCATGAGATTTAGCTGGTTTGTTTTAAGGAACATAGCACTACATTAATTTTTGTTTAGTGTTTGGAAACTGTTACGTTACATATTTTATCTAGTTTTGCAGCTGTTTACCATATGAAGGTAAATCTGGTACTGGTTATCCCACAATACTAGATTATTGTGGGAGGCTGACAGAAACTTTCAGGGGAAATTGCAATGAATTACAATGAAGCTTGGCTGATTTTAGATTTCATGGCTATTTAGGAATTACATGTTTATGGGTTTTGGGAGTTGTTTGTCCTCTTTGACTAGATCAATCAGATGAGATAATGTAATAATAAAATAATAAAACACCATACAGCACTTAGGATTTTGTGTTTAAAGTAATTTATTGATTTTGGGGGAGGGTACTGGGAACTGAACCTAGGGCCTTCACACTGAGGTACTCCCAGCCCTTTTTATTTTTAGACAAGTTCTCAAAAAGTAGCTCCGTTTCACAGGGTGGGCTTGAACCCAAGGCTACACATATGCTAGCAAACATTGTACTAGTGAATTGGATCCCCAGCCTAGAAAAGACTTCTCACTCTTGGAAATTAAAATGGAAGTAGTAGGATTACCTGTGTGGTAGTGTCTTGGTTACTTTTTTCTCGTTGCTGGGACAAACACTCCCCACAAGCCATTTCCAAAGGCTCTTGAACCACATGGTCAGGTATAGTCACAACAA